TTCCTGCTGGAAACGAAGGACAGGCTTTTAGACACGAGTTTAATGAGCTGCCCAGGGTCAGAGAGGGATCCCATGTCGCTTGGAAGATGACTTGGTTCAGTCACCGGCTCTCTGGCCCCACAGTGATGCCCGGGTGAGGATGCAGGGCCCACGTGCAGGAGGGAGAGGAGGATGGGTAACGGAGTGCTTCCTCCCAGCCCGGACATCCCTGGGGATTTACAGCAGCAGCTTTCGGGGGGAACTGTATTAACTTGTGCTACCTGTTCCCATGCCAGCTTCATCTTTTCTATTTTATTAAGCACTTTATAATTTAAAGGCTTTTAAAACTCACATAAAAGCGATGCTGTTTTAACCTCCTACAATTTGGATTTTCCAGGCACAATGACGGAGCAGCAAAGTCCCCCCGAGCAGATGGCGACTGGGGAGGGTGCTGGCGAGCGAGGTGGCAATTACAAGGTATACTGGGGGCAACTGGTTACGGATGGACTTTGAGTGATGCTGTAGGTCACTGTGTGTTGCAGCATGCATGCACCAGGCTGGTACCGGTGTCAAAGCGCTGCAGGCCGCACGAGGGAAGCCAGTGGCCTCCGGCTCTCCTAACGCAGCAGCGCGTTAGCGTCACCGCTCTGCTAAATCCTTTCCTCACCCAAGGAGCCGAGCTGCATGGGGCTGCAGGGCTGCCGGCCGGGGAGGGAGGCTTCGTCTGGGGATTTGCTGCTGCCTGGCAGGAGGAGACGCTGCTCACTGTGTTTGTGGCTGCCAAGTACATTTGCCTGGTGGTCTGGTGTGCAGCTGCACAGTGTTTTAATCCAGGAGATAAAGTATCCCATCACGGCAGGGATCGGCTGTGGGTTCGAGCAGTGAAATTCCTTATGCATTTTTTTTAGGTTATAATTCTTACCCTCGTAGGGTGGTTAGAGGTAAATCAGCTGTGGGTGTTGCAATGGCTGCAGCCCTTCCCGCAGCTCGGGAAGCCGGGCAAAGCTGCTCCTGGCCGAGAAAGGGAGGAGGTGGGAGCAGATCCTGCAAACGGGGTAAAGAGGTGCCAGAAACTTGGGCTGCTTATTGCTTTGGGGGTGGAAAGAAGTCCCTGAGGACCACAGGTGTCACCTCAGTCCCTTGATACCCCCCGTTATGCAGTGCCTGCAGGAGGCTCTGCCCTTGTCCCGGGCTCAGGGGTTTCAGCTGGGACCCCTTTAGGGCAGGGGGGTGCCTGGCCACATGCATGTGCAGCCTGGCTGCCGTGCTGACCCTCCTGGTCCCCGAATTGTGCTGGGCACCTGGGGCCCTGCTCCCTGCTGCACTCTGGCCACTGGCACTGGCTTGAACTCCTCCTGCAGCTCAGCCCCCAAGCTCTGCCAAGAGCGGGAGGTCCCGGGGAGGCGTTGCAGTCTCTGCACCTGGCGGGGTTTAGAGCAAAACACCAAAAAATGAGCTTCTTCAGGCCAAGCCAGGGGAACGAATGGATCTGGCGGGAGCAGTGAGAAGGAAAGGACAGGCTGTGACCAGGCTGGGGGCGGGAGACCCCAGCCCACAGCCCTGGAGGTCTCTTAGCACAAACCCTCTGCATTTTTGATGCTGTGTTTGAGCCGGTCAACTTGTTTTCAGCCTGTCATGGATGAAATATCAACCTGTGTTTTACCAAGCAAACATCTTTGGCCAATACCTGGCTGTGGAGCAAAGCCCAGGAGCCATCTGTCGGGGCAGAGGCCCGTGGCGGGACCCGGCTCTGCCACGGGAGAGGAGCGATGTCTGCGTGGGGCGTCAGGGATGGAGGGGACGTGGCCAGAGCTCTTTGCTCTGCTGCTGCTTGCGTTTGCCAAGGCGGGTCCTGCACCAGTGCAGGGTGTTCCCCCTGCAGCGTGGCTGCAGTGGCAGCTGATGGTGTCTCTCCCTGCTTTAGATCACAATCTACGAGCTGGAGAATTTCCAGGGGAAGAAGTGCGAGCTGACAGAGGAGCTCCACAACATCAACGAGAAAGACCTGGAGAAGGTGGGCTCCATCCAGGTGGAGTCTGGCCCGTAAGTCCGGGGTGTGGAGGAAGGAGAAGCCCTGGGGTGGGGAGAGCAGGGAGAGCATCCCCTGCACCCTGCTCATGGGGGGCAGTCCTGCCTCATGCTGGGGTGCTCCCCCCGTGCGGGGGTGGCCGTACCATCCCCGACCCCCTGGTCCCGCAGGTGGCTGGGCTTCGAGCGGCAAGCCTTTGCCGGGGAGCAGTTTGTGCTGGAGAAGGGGGACTACCCACGCTGGGACTCCTGGTCTAACAGCCACAACAGCGACAGCCTGATGTCCATCCGCCCCCTCCAGATCGTGAGTAGTGGCTGTGTTGGGGTGTCTGTGCCCCTGGAGACAAGCAGCATGGCCACAGTGATGGGGACCGCCAGGCTAGGAGGGTGTTGGGGGGCCGGGGGCACGCAGGGCAGGGCAGCTCTTGACCCACGCCTCCCCCCAGGACAGCCCCGACCACAAGATCCACCTCTTTGAGAATGTGGGCTACACCGGGCGGAAGATGGAGATCGTGGACGATGACGTCCCCAGCCTCTGGGCCCACGGCTTCCAGGACCGTGTGGCCAGCGTCAGAGCCCTGAACGGAACGTAAGGATGGTGGGGACACCCCAACAAGGTCCTGTCCCATGGCACTCTGGTTGGTCCCCCCAGGGTGGGGGCAGGAATGTCTGGCACAGCTGCTGCAGCGGGGACAGGGCAGCTGTCCCCACGATGCTGCTCATGCCCATCATGTCCCTTGCTCCCTCCCCACTGCCACCCTTTCCCTGGCCCGCAGGGAGCGAGGGGGACCAGTGTCACTGGGGCTGTGTGACAGCTCCTTGCCCTGACCCAGGGCTCTGCTGGGCACCGCTGCAGAAGTGGTGGAGCCGTGGGCCCTTCTCTGCTCTGGGCTCTCCAGCCCCTCCCGGGCTCTGCAGCTGCAGCCCTGTTGCAGTGGCACTTGGTGGTGATGGAGCAGCGGCCCTGGGCAGCGCTGCAGAGCATCGCATGGCTGATGTGAGCAGAGGCACCGGCACTGCCACGGCCTCTGGGGTGGCACGGGGATGCTGCCCTCCTGCTCTGGGGCAGGGGGCTGCAGCTGGAGCTGACCCTGGGGCCCTGCTGAGCGCTGCCTCCGTCCCCTGCAGGTGGGTGGGCTACGAGTACCCCGGGTACCGGGGCCGCCAGCACGTCTTCGAGAAGGGCGAGTACCGCCACTGGAACGAGTGGGACGCCAACCAGCCCCTCATCCAGTCCGTGCGCCGTGTGCGGGACCAGCAGTGGCACCAGCGGGGCTGCTTCGAGAACAGCTGAGGGACGCCCTGGCCCCGCGCTGCACCCGCTGCTGCCTGTGCCGGGGGCTAGCTGACGTGATGCCGCCGGCTGATGCCGTGATCTTGGTGGTTTTTGTGCAAAAACCTCAATAAAGCTCTGAGCTGGAGGCTGCCAGGGGCCCACCTGGTCTGGGGCCGGGGTCGTGCTTGTGGGGGGGTGCAGGGAGTGGAGCCCCGGTCCAGGGATGGTGAGATGTGGATGGGTGCCATGGCAATGCCCACAGCATCTACCAGGCACAGCAGAAGC